TCAGATAGTCCCCATACTTCAATATCTTTTTTTTTCTTTTGCTCACCCAATGAGTTTCATTAAGGTTATATAGAGGATCATAGGTGAGAGGTTATTTACTGGAGCATGGTGAACACCTTGCCAGTGGCTACCCCACTGAAGAAAATGCCTCTCTCTCCACAGCAACCATTACCTGCCTATAGATCCTTAGAGAGGAGTGGGTCTCATTAGCCCCTCCCCCTAGAAAACCATTTAAAAATTCTCAGAGAATAACCACAGATGTGTCAACAGATGCAGAATAGACTTTGAAAAATTCATAAGTGTTTCATGATAAAAAAAATCCTCAGAAAAATAGAAAAAGAAAAAATTTTGTGGCCTTGATATAAAAAATCTTTAATACTTCTAGATTAAATGATCCAAGTCTAGATTCAAACACAAGACCAGCATGTTTCCTTTCCCCCATTGCTACTAAACAGGCTGGGAAAGCCAGCCAGTGCGAATGTGCAGGAAAAAGGCATCATGAGTTTAAAAGTATCTCTGTTCAAGGAAGACATGATTAGAACATGACGAAAACTCCAAGGACTCTATCAAGAAAAATATGTAAGGCAATTAAGGGAGTTCAGCTGAATCACAGGATACAAGGTCAACAAACAAAAATCAATCACAATTCTACAGACAGATGGTGACTACTGAAAAATAAGCATTTAAAAACAAACCATTATAATAACTTTAAAAATGAAACATATACATATATATAGAAGAAAACACATCATTATTTGGTATTATTAACCCACCCAAAAGCCTGTGGCTGGGGAAGTCATAGGCACTAGAAGGTAAACTGCAGCAATTTTGCCAAATGAACATGATATGCCTGTCAAATTGACTTCCAAATAGTTCTGTTTATCCCCATAGATTTGTCAGTTTTGATCAGAGATGCTTCTTTTTACAGTGAGCAACAATTGTATAATTCTACTGATTAAATTTTAAATATAGAACCATGTTTGGGTCCCTGAAATGAATCCTACGTAATCATGGTATATTATTCTTTTTGCAAATTTGTAAGTCCAATTTGTTAATATTTTAACAGTCACTATTGTTTTCATGAGAGATGTGACTTTGTTCATTTGTTTGTTTGTTTGTTTTTTGAGACAGGATTTCTCTGTGTAGTCCTGGCTATCCTGAAAGTCTGAGCCATCTCTCCAACCCTATGCTTTTAAACTAATCATCCTTTCTTTATTGTTTTGTCTATGTTGTTTTTCTATTTCAAATTTCATTTGTTTCTGTTTTCTATTACTTCTTCAGTTTGCTTTGGGATATGGTCTTCTCTGTTGACTTTCTTAAGAATTAAGCTTAGATTATTGATTTAATTTTTTTCAAGAGCTGGCAAAATGGCTCAGTGGGTAAAGGCACCTGCTGCCAAGCCTGATAACTTGAGTTTAGTTCCTGAGACTTGCATAATGGAAGGAGAGAACTGACTCAAATAATATTTTTTTAAGTATAATTTTTTTTCATGGTGCTGGAGATAGTTCAGTTGGTAGAATATTTACCCAGCAGCCAGAAAATTCTGCGTTTGAGCTCCAATATCACATAAAACAAGATATTGTGATGAATGCCCATTACCACAGCACTTTTAATATAGAAGCAGGAAGATCAGGAGTTGAAGTCCAGCCTGGAATATGTGAGACCCTGTCTCAAAAAATAATTTATTCTTTTAGTGCTGTAAGATTTAAGCTCATTAGCTATGTCTCACACATTTTTATATTTTCATTCTTGTTCAGTTTAAAATATGCTCTAATGTTCTTTGTTGTTTTTACTTCACATATTTTAAATGTCTTTTGTTATGTACATATACTTTTAGGAATGGGGGTGGTAGTAGTGGTTTTTGAACCAGAGTCTTGCCATGATGCTCAGAATGTTGTTTGGAAGAATGGTATGTAATTACAGAATGTCTAGAAATTTTCCTTTTGTCTTTCTACTTCTGTTGTTTCTTAATTTCTTTCTGATCTGATAGCATACTTAGTATGATTTCAGTTATTTTCAGTTTGTTAAAGCTTGCTTTGTGATAGAGTCTCCTTTGTTAATAAGTCACATGTACTTGAAAAGTCTGTTTTTAGTGGAGTGTTCTGGAAGTCATTTGCATGCAGCTAATGGTGTTAACTTAATTCCATATCCTTGTTAAATTTTCTGTTTACTGGTTCCATGAGGTCCTAAGAAAGGAGCACTCACTGCAGTGTCTAATTTGTCTATTTCTCCTTTCAGTTTCAGTTTTCAAGTAGTGTGTGTGTGTGTGTGTGCGTGCGTGCGTGCGTGCGTGCGTGCGTGCGTGCGTGTGTGTGTGTTTTATGCATATGTGTTCACATATGTGGATGCATCTGTATGTGAATATGAATGTACAGTCAGAAACCAAATCAGGTTTCTTCCTTATGCTTGTGTGGTAAGACCTTCAGTGACAGATACCTTCCCAACCCTGCTTCACACATTGTAAAGGTCTCTTGTTAGATACAAACATTTCAGGAGCAGTGTTGGAGGTGGTGTGTTTTTAGACAGGGTCTTACTGTGTAACTTAGGCTGGTCTCAAACTCCCTGTGTCCTTCAAGCAAGCCTTGATCTCATAGTCCTTCTGCCTCAGCTATTGTAGCATGAGGATTACATGCATGTGCAACTATTCCTGGCTTTGGGACTGATGATTTTTTGGTTGGGTTGGGTTGGTTGATTGGTTGGTTGGTTGGATGGTTGGTTGGGTTTTGTTTTGCTTTGCTTTGTTTTGTTTTTGGCCTTGTTACCCTTATGTAGTGTCAGACACTCTCCTGGGTGATTATTTTTTCTTACTTTCTCATTCAAATTCTACTTTGCCTGTTATGAATATAGTCACTGTAGTTTTTCTTTGATTAGTATATCAATAATATACTTTTTCCATCCTTTTAAAACTTTTTTCATTAATTTCATGTATATAGGTGTTTCATCTGTATCTATGTCTGTGCACCATGTGACTTTCTTGGGGGCCAGAATAGGGCATCAGATTTCTTGGAAGTGGAGTTACAAATGTTTGTGTGTATCGGGAATTGAACCCAGGTCCTCTGGAAGAAAGGGCCATGCTCTTAACTGTTAAGCCGTCTCTTCAGACTCATCCCTTTTTGTTGACACAGTCTCTCTATATCCAGTCCTAACTGACCTCAATCTCACTGTTTACTCCAGGCTGGCCTCAAACTCAAGATCCTCATGTCTTTAACTACCAAATGCTGAAATTACAGGTGTGCACCACCTTACCTAGCTGGTCCTTACTTTTTATACAACTAGTATTATTACATCTGAAGTGTGTTCTTGTGGATAACATATAGTTGGGTTCATTAGTCTGTTGGAGCTATCATAACAAAGTACCACAGAATAGGTGCTTAAACATCAGAAGTTTCTCTTTCAACAGGTCTAGAGGCTGGGAAATCCAAGATGAAAGTCTCTCTGATTTATTGTTTGATTAGGGCCTGCTTTCTACTTGCAGGTGGCCTACTTGCTTTGACCTTGCTTTTCTACTCTTCACACTGTTCCTCTTCTTATACCAGATCTTTATTGGCTCTGCTTTCATACCTTCCTTTAACTTTTCCTTTTCCTTTTATGTCAGTGCCTGGGATTGAACCTGGGGCTTTGTGCTTGCTAGGCAAGCACTCTACCACTGATCTCAAGCCCCAACCATTCATTTAAATTTTAATTACCTCTATAAGTATCCTATCTCAAAATGTTAATATATGAATTAGGCTCTAATATATGAACTGAGTAGCATACAATTCAATCCCTAATAATGGATAATATTTTTAATCCACTTGAAAATTTTGGTTTAATTGGTGTATTTTAGTCATTTTACCTTTAGTGTAATTATTGATACCCTTGGATTTAGGTGTACCTTTTCATTATTCATTCACTGCTTTTTTCCATTTTATTTGGTAGTGGTTCCTCTTGTGTTATAGAATATTATATTATTTTAAGGTGTGTTACTTTTGTTTATGTTCTGGAACATTTGTTCAATGATGCAAAGATGTGTTTGATTAAATAAAATTCACTGTGGTCAGGAGTCTGGGTCAGCAACTAGCTGATAGGAAGTTGTAGAGAGGAGCCAGGTGAAGAAGAGTTTATAAGGAGGGATGAGAACAAGCTCCAGGACTTCTTGGGAGACACAAAGATATGAGCTAGGTGAGCTGCTTGCTATTCAGCCTCTCTGGGAAGCAGGATTTAACCTCAACCTTTGAATCTTGAGTTCTCTAGCGGGATGGAGATTTAAATAAGTTTTCTTAGGAGCTTTGAAAGTGTCAGTTCATAAGGGAACAGAATTTCCTCAAGCTTTGGCTCTTATGGCCTAGCTGCTGCTGGTAGCAGCAGAGTTGCATTTGCTGACTAGGATAGCCATAACTTAAAAGGCAGCAACAATTAAAAAGAAAGACAACACTCAGCCGGGCATTTAATCCCTGCACTCAGGAGGCAGAGGCAGGCGGATCTCTGTGAGTTCGAGACCAGCCTGGACTCCAGAGCGAGTGCCAGGACAGGCTCCAAAGCTAAAAAGCTACACAGAGAAACCTTGTCTCGAACACCCCCCCAAAAAAGACAACATTCTTGCTGTCTTTAATTTTTTAAAACATTTTAGTATTACATAGTTAATTATCTATCTGTGTGTGCTTAGAATTGAACCCAGAACCCCTAGTATGCCAAGCATACTTCTCCACTGAGTATTCTGTATTATTTTTTGAGACAGGGTCTCAAATTATGTTAAGTTTGTCAAAGCTTGTTTCCCAGTTCATACATACTTGAAAAAAATGTATGCTCTGCTCTTTAGTAGGGCATTCTGTATGTGTTAGCAAACCGTCCATGGTATTATGTAGTTGTATACTCTTTTGTTTGATTGGTTGGGTTTTAGTTGTTTTGAGACAGTCTCACTCTGTAGCCTATGAATGGCCTTGAACTCACAGAGATCTGCCTGCTCTGCTTCGTGGGTGCTGGGATTAAAGTCCTGTGTTGACTGTTTCTTTCTATTTCAGGCTGTTTTGGAACTTGACATATGGCCCAAGCTGGTCTCAAATTTATGATCCTTCTGCCTCCTCTGCTTCCTAAGCATTGATGTTGCAGGTAAGTACCACCACACCTGGCCCTATATTAGACTATAATTGTTTACATAATTTGTTTTGTGTTTGTTGTAGAGGTTATCATGTGTACTTTCCTTTATACAATATGATTAATGTTAATATTTGTACTTCTTTAGCAAGATGTATGAACTTGGCTATTATGTAAGTCTCCTTATCTGGTTCCCTTTCTGTTTAGTTTGTCATAGATCTACATTCATTGAAAATTACACTGGATACTATTACATTGTTTTTGTCTCTTTGTTTGTATTGGGGGTATTGTTTTTATGTAGAGTTTCACTATGTTGGCTGTGAAGTCCCAATTTCCTAGGTTCATTTGATCTTCCTGCCTTGGCCTCTTGAGTAGATGGCATGGCCATGTGCTACTACATATGTCTTTACATTGTTAATTAGTGCTTTCAACATTTTCATATTTTAGAGAATTGAAGAGAAATGACATTATTTTTATTTAAATTAGAAACAAGCTTCTTTTTTGTGTACTGGTCCATATTTTGGTATTTTTTTATTTGAATTAGAAACAAGATTGTTTTACATGACAATCCCAGTTCCCTTCTCCCTCCCGTCTTCCCCTACTAGCCCCCCCAACTAAAACCCTACCTATCACATATCCTTTCTTCTATTCTTCCCCTGACTCAAACTTTCTGCTCCCTCATGACCTCTGCAACCCTCCTCTTCTTCCCTTCTCATTCTCCTAGCTCCCTCCCCCCTCTTCCCATGCTCTCAATTTGCTCAGGAGATCTTGACCCTTTCGCCTTCTCCAGGGGATCAAGTATGTCTCTCTAAGGGTCCTCCTGAAACAAGCTTCTTTTACATGTCAATCCCAGTTCCTTCTCCCTCCCTCCTCCACTGCCCCCCACAAATCTCTATCCCATCCATTTTCTGCTCCCCAAGGAGGGTGAGGCCTTCCATGGGGATCTTCCAAGTCTGTCATCATTTGGAGCAGGGCCTAGTCCCTCCCCCGTGTATCTAGGCTGAGGGAGTATCCCTCTATGTGGAGAGGGCTCCCAAAGTCCATTCATGTACTAGGGATAAATACTGATCCATTACCAGAGGCCCCATAGGTTGCTCAGACCTCTAAACTGGCATCCATGTTCAGGGGGTCTGGATCAGTCCCATGCTGGTTTCCCAGCTATCAGTCTGGGGTCCGTGAGCTCCCCCATGTTCAGGTCAGCTGTTTCTGTGGGTCTCTCAAGCCTGGTCTTGACCCCATTGCTCATCACCCCTCCCTCTCTGCAACTGGATTCCAGGAGTTCAACTCACTGTTTACCTGTGGGTGTCTGTGTTTGCTTCCATCAGCTACTGGATTAAGGCTCTAGGATGGCATATAAATTAGTCATCAATCTCATTATCAGAGAAGGGCATTTAAGGTAGCCTCTCTACCATTGCTTACATTGTTAGTTGGTGTCATCCTTGTAGATCTCTGGACATTTCCCTAGTGCCAAATTTCTCTTTTAACCTATAATGGTTCCCTCTATTTTGGTATCTCTTTTCTTGTTCTCCTCTCTTCTTCTCCTAACTCCATCTTCCAGCTCCCCCATGTCTTCCCCTCCTCTTCCCCCCCTTCTCTTTCTCCTAACTCGATTCTCCCCTCCCCCAGTGATCCCAATTAACTCAGGAGATCTTGTCCCTTTCCCCTTCTCCAGGGGTCCATGTATGTCTCTCTTAGGGTCCTCCTTGTTTCCTAGCTTCTCTGGCGGTGTGGATTGTAGGCTGGTAATTCTTTGCTCTATGTCTAAAATCCATATATATTAGTAAGTACATACCATGTTTGTCTTTTTGTTACTGGGTTACCTCACTCAGGATGATTTCTTCCAGTTCCATCCATTTGCCTGCAAATTTCAACATTTCATAGTTTTTATCCACTGAGTAATAATCCATTGTGTAAATGTACCACATTTTCTTTATCTATTCTTCAATTGAGGAGAATCTAGGTTGCTTCCAGGTTCTGTCTATTACAAATAATGCTGCTGCGAACATAGTTGAACAAATGTTGTATGAATGTGCATCTTTTGGGTATATGCTTAAGAGTGGAATTGCTGGATCTTGTGATAGACTGATTCCCATTTTCCTGAGGCACTGCTATACTGATTTCCAAAGAGGCTGTACCTCTCCACTCCCAGCAGCAGTGGAGGAGTGCTCCCCTTTCTACACATCCTCTCCAGCACAAACTGTCATGGGTGTATTTGAATTTAGCCATTCTGACAGGAGTGAGATGGTATCAGATATGTTTTGATTTGAATTTCCCTGATGGCTGAGGATGTTGAGTACTATCTCAAGTGTCTTTAAGCCATTTTAGATTCCTATATTGAGAATTCTCTATTTAGTTCTGTACCCCACTTTTTAATTGGATTATTTGGTGTTTTGGTGACTAGCTTCTTGTGTTCTGCCATTTTGTCTTGTTGACTGTGTATTTTGCGTTACAGAAGGTTTTCAGTTTCAGGAGGTCCCATTTATTGTCAATCTCGGTGTCTATGCTACTGGTGTTATGTTCAGGAAGCAGTCTCCTATTCCAGTTCATTCAAGGTTAGCTCCCACTTTCTCTTCTAAGAGTTTCAATGTGGTTGATTTATGTTGAATTCTTTGATCCATTTGAACTTAAGTTTTGTGCATGGCAATAGATAGGGATCTATCTACAGTCTTCTACATGCCAGCATCCAGTTATACGAGCACCATTTGTTGAAGATGCTTTCTTTTTTCCATTGTATAGTTTTAGCTTCTTTGTCAAAAATCAGGCGTTTGTAGGAGTGTGGGTCCATATCAGAGTTTTCAATTTAATTCCATTGGTCTACCTGTCTATTTTTGTGACAATACCAAGCTATTTTCAGGACTATAGCTCTATAAAAGAGCTTGAAGTCAGGTATGGTGAGGCCTCCAGAAGTTCCTTTATTGTATAGGGTTGCTTTGGCTATCCTGGGTCTTTTGTTTCTCCATATAAAGTTGGGTATTGTTCTTTCAAGGTCTGTGAAAAATTGTGCTGGGATTTTGATGGGGATTGCATTGAATCTGTAGATTGCTTTGGCAAGATTGCCATTTTTACTATGTTGATCCTACCTATCCAAGAGCATGGAAGATCTTTCCATTTTCTGGTATCGTCTTTAATATCTTTCTTTAAAGACTCAAAGTTCTTGTTATACATGTCTTTCACTTGTTTGGTTAGTGTTACCAAGGTATTTTATGTTGTTTGTGGCTATTGTAAAGAGTGATGCATCTCTGATTTCTTTCTCAGCACATTTATCATACATATATAGTAGGGCTACGGTTTTTTTTTAGTTAATTTTGTATCCTGCTACTTTGCTGAAGGTGTTGTCAGCTATAGGTGTTCCCTGGTATAGTTTTTTAGGTCACTTATGTAAACTATGATATCATCTGCAAATAGTAAAAGTTTGACTTCTTCTTTTCCAATTTGTATCCCCTTGATCACCTTTAGTTGTCTTATTGCTCTAGCTAGAACATCAAGTACAATACTGAAGACAAGGCAGTGGACAGTCTTGTCTTATTCCTGATTTTAAAGGTATTGTGTTGATTTTCTCTCCATTTAGTTTGATGTTGGCTGTTGGTTTGCTGTATATTGATTTTATTATGCTTAGCTATGTTCCTGTTATCCTTGATCTCTCCTAAGTCCTTTATCATGAAGGGGTGTTGGATTTTGTCAAAGGGTTTTTGAACATCTAGTTAGATGATCATGTGATTTTTCTTTTTTAGTTTGTTTATATGGTGGATTACATTGATGGATTTTCATATGTTGAACCACCCCTGCATCGCTGGGAAGAAACCTACTTGATCATGGTGGATGATTTATCTGATGTGTTCTTGGAATGAGTTTGCCAATATTTTATTGAATTTTTTGCATCAATGTTCATGAGGGATATTGGTCTGAATTTCTCTTAATTGTATCTTTTTGTGGCTTGGGTATCAAGGTTATTGAAGCCTTGTAAAAAGAGTTTGGCAATGTCCCTTCTTCTTTGTGTGGAATACTTCGAGGAGAATTGGTATTAGCTGTTCTTTGAATTTCTGGTAGAATTCTGTACTGAAACCTTCTGGTCCTGGGCATTTTTGTTGGTAGACTTTTGATGACTGCTTCTATTTCCTTAGTGGCTATAGGTCTATTGAAATTGCTTATCTGTCCTTCATTTAATTTTGGTAAGTGATATCTATCCAGAAAATTGTCCATTTCCTTTAGATTTCCGAAATTGTGGAGTACAGGTTTTCAGAGTATGACCTGATGGTTTTCTAGATTTCCTCAGTGTCCATTGTTATATCCCCCTTTTCATTTCTGATTTTGTTAATTTGCATATTCTCTCTCTGCCTTTTGGTTAAGTTTGGATAAATGTTTGTCTATCTTGTTGATTTTCTCGAAGAACCAACTCTTGATTTCATTGATTCTTTGTATTGTTTTCCTAATTTCTACTTTATTGTTTTCAGCCCTCAATTTGATTATTTCCTGGCGTCTACTCCTCTTGAGTGTGTTGGCTTCTTTTTGTTCAGTTGTTCTGTCAGTTCTCTAGTGAGACTATTCTCCAGTTTCTTCATGTGGGCACCTAGTGCTGTGAACTTTCCTCTTAGCACTGCTCTCACAGTGTCCCATAAGTTTGGGTATGTTGTGTCCTCATTCTGATTGAAGTCTAGGTAGTCTTTTATATATTTTTAATTTCTTCCTTGACCCTAGAAATGAAATTATTATATTTATCATTTTAAACAACCAAGTTTGCTGTTCTTCCTTCGTTGTTGATGATTCACATGTCTCTCTGTGATCAGTTGCCTGTCTGTAAAGTGCTTTTAGTAATTATCTTCAGATGAAGTCTACTGGCAACATATTTTTCCTTGAGTTGAATATCTTTATTTCACTTTTATTGCTAAAGGAAATTGCCATATCATATATAGATTTTTTTCAGTGTGCCATCATTTCTTATATATATTTACGTTTTATGTGTGCATACATTGTGCTTATGGAGGACAGAACTTACAGAAGTCAGTCCTCTCCTTCCA